TTTTTTGCCAAGCCGGGAAGGTGTTTTGGGGTGGGGGAGGGCAGTGCGCTCCTTGGCAAACCCGGAAGTGAACCAGAACTACTTCCAGTGCACTTCTGGTTTTGCAGCTGAACATGTGGAGGCCCCCCCCGCATGCCCTTGGGAAGCTCCGTGCCCCCCAGCGTCATAACATTCACAAGCCATGCTGGTACCTTGAGGTATGTTGAAAAGACATTTAAAGCTGTGTGTGAATCGCTGATTGTCTGAATTGGCGTCAAATCTTTGGATTCGACCAAATTGAATCAGGCACAGTGATCCAAATCAGCAAGTCAAATCACTGTCCCTGATTTGGGCTGAATCTAAATCTGAATCTAATAGGGCCTGCTTTGGACACTGCTAATTAAGAAATAGATGCTGTGCAGGTAACAGGAATCCTCTGTAATTGTAATCCTAATGGTGCCAATCCCCTGCCTCTGAAAGTAATGAAAACTAAATGCTTGTAGCTACTTTGCTTGGAAATGCAAATTCCCCTAGAGCTTTTGCTTGACCGTTTCAGCCTATTTGCTTATTTTTTCTTCAGTATCCATACTTATACACTTTTCCCATTGCTCTGTGCTAAGCTTTTGAGCTTGGCATCCCAAATTCAGCTCTTGCACCAGTGGACTATATAGTATTTGTGCATCTGTTAATCAACATCCCTATCCTATTTATGCACCATAATTGTAGGAGACTTACATTTTTAAACAAGCAACTCTGACTTCACTGAATGTGACTTATTTTCAGCAATGCTTTTGGAACAGTACCCATGGCTGCTTCCGCACAGACACAGCCTGTATCTTCGAGTGTGCCTGCTCCATTTGGAGGTATATTAAAATATTAAACTTATGCAGACTGCAAGCAAACAGTATATTAACTTTTAGTTTAGTGCCCCAGTATATAGTAAAGCTAGTGGTGTCGCCATCATTAGAGATGTTGGCAAAAAAATGGAATCCTTGCTAGTGCATGCAGTAAGATAAGTAGTTTTTAAGAAATGGTTTGCTAAGAAAATGGTGCTTACATATCTTTAATGTTCTAACTGGATACGACTTAATAACTGAGATATGGTATAATAAAACTCTAATCACTGCTGCGTAAAGATTTTCTCTTTTTGGAAAAGATTAATTGATCTTGTGTGGCTTTTTTTTTTTTCACAGCAACACCTTCCACAAATCCATTTGTGGCTGCCCCCGTTGCCCCAGTGGCACCTTCAACAAACCCATTCCAGACCAATAGCCGAGGAGCAACAGGTCAGGAAAAAAATGAGCCTTGTGTTATTTAAGGATATAAATCTTTCATTTAAAACACTTGTGCTTTTAGCTTCAGAATGCTTTTCTTATTTGTATAAATAAATAAAAGAAATTAGCTGATGGTACTGTTTTGCTGACCACTTCAAATTTTAATATCCCAATGAGATGCAGTTTCCTAGCTATTGTTTCGGGTCTTGAGCATTCTAGAAAGATGACTTTTCTCCCATGCCATTAAGAATAATAATCCCTTTAAATGAAACCTTGGACTTCTGCAACACATTTCTGTGGCAAGAGCTGGCTTCTGTGGAAATCATGGAACAATGACTCCATATGCAAAATATGAACTGGAGAAGTCATGGCAGTGTTCTTGCTTACAAAATGGTGCTTGTGGATTTAGATACTGACCAAACTTATTTTTATTTTCTGTTTAATTTCTTATATAAGGCTGAACTTTAGGATAAGCCCCATCTTGATAACAGGATTTCTGCAAACTTACCATGGTTTGTCTCTTAGCCAAGCTGACTAAATCTTGCTTAATGTTCTTGTTACTGACTGTTGTACCATTTTTATAAATTCCTGTCTTGTTTTTTTTTGTAGGCTGTTAAAACTTTAGCCTTTAAGAAGCCGGTAGAGTTGACTGTGTGGGTTGACCAGACAGTAACCTCTTGTGAAAGTAGCTTGTTAAACTACTTCACTTTAAATGTTATGCAGTTCAATCTGATTATTTCCCTACTTTCAAACTATTATTTTTGGAAAATTTCTGTAATGGAAATTAGTAGCAGATTAAAAAAAAAAACTAATTTTTTTCCACAAACCCAGTGCATATATTAAGATTACTTTATCATTTAGTTTTATAGATATAGATACAGTTTGAGTGAGTTTTGTATGAACTGTATAATACAGGTATACTTTGCTTATAGCATATTTCATATACTATCTATAATTGTTTTACTGCCTATCATTAGACTTGGTAGGTGCTAAGCTTGCTTATCAGAAGGATTTTATTCTAAGGAAGTTCTTTATGCCCTGCACTTAAACAGATATAGCTATTTTAATTGTCTATTTATATAAGACAGAACTGTTCTTAAATGTATAAACCATTTGACATTGTCTGGTCTTTTTGTGGCTTCCACAAGGCCTCTCGGGAGCAATGCACTCTCACATATTTCCTCAGGCTCATTTTGGTAGGTGGCCACACTTGTTATCTGAGTTTCATGTGGCTAATTGTTTTATTTGCCTGTGAAAGCTTACTGCCGGCTATGTGGTTCTTTGCATGTAGAATTTGAGTAGGCTGTCTTCCATACTTCAAAATGGAGTGGGCATGGATGTGTGGTGGCATTTGAGGAGAAAAAAATCACTTAGCTACTTGATGTAAATAAATTGAACTAAAACAGCCATTGTTTACCTCCATGGTCACATTGATAGATGCTTACAATCTGAGTGACTACTTTTGAAACTTGTGTTCATTGTTGTTTGACACCTGTTTAGGCTGTCCCAAACCATTGTGCATTTTCGTCACAGTGCGTTTGGATTTCCTTTTTTTATCAAGCTTCGCTGCAAAAGTGTCTTTGGTTAATGGTAACTTGTGAAAGTCATGTCAGAGCATTGTTTGTATGTACTTTTGTCAACGATCTGTTTTTGGTTTATATCCCACATGTGGTGTGGTAAGTTATTCCCTTTTATGAATTCCTCCCCCCACCAATTACCTGACGAGTTTAACTGCCAGTGTGTTCAATACAAAACACTGATTTAGAACTTGTTTGTACCCATTTTGTACAAAAAAAAAAATTAAATTTTATAGTGCTATAAAAGAACGGGTTTTAATACTGTAGTGACAGTCCTGCAGAAATGCCTGACATTTATGTTCATTTCAGAAGCCCTTCTGTGTCGCCATTATTACCACATTACATCCAAAAGGTTTCAGCTGTCTTGTTGCTAGTGCCTTTGCTGTGCTGCTGTTAATAAGGATTTTTTAAAAGATGCATACTGTACTGCATAAATGCAGCAAGTTGGTATAACTTGGAATCTTTGGTGGTGAGGAAGATGACAGAAATGTGTGGGGGTTTTAAATCCTAT